TCGAATGGGATGAGCTTGTATTAAAATTCGTGACAGTATTGCTTACGGAGAATCAACCACGACAAGGACCATTAGTAATAATTAAGTACATTGGCGTGATCTAACTTTTAACTATAGCAATGAATGGTCCAAAGGATATACTAATGGACGACAACGAGAATAGTCTCAAACAAATAGAAGGCACATTAATGATTTTTTTAAACGGTGTGCGGTGTTAGTAAAAACAATGTGGTTATAAAAACCTTATTGTAAGTTTTAAGTCGGTCTTGACTAAAGATTGGATATCTATAATGTTTTAGTAATTTAGGTATGACTGAATTTTTTTTTTTAGAAAACCCAAAACTATTTTTTAATCACTGAAAATGTAAATAAACATGGCATAACTAGGTCGTGTGGTTAAAAAAAAAAACTATAATTTTAATTAAAACCTTTATCGACAAAGTTTTGAGTACAAATTACTACGAAATGGAGTTTCCAAAAGATCTATTACGGAATTTCTGTACAGCTAATCAATGCTTATCTTACGAAATTAAAACTTCGGTTTATGATTGATCACTGAGGAAAATAAATATAAATTTAGCGCACATATTTTAAAGTTCTATGCATTTGCAACTTTTTAAACATTTATTCTTAAAATATTACATTTTTTCATAAAGGCAAAATTTGCATCCATGTCAACAATAATCAGAGAAATTTGGTGCCGAGGTTTCGATATAGGCCTATACTATTCTTACACCGTAATGTATAGGCCTACTTTATTCTTGTTCCGGGGATCGCCTTTTCTTAATCCTATGTAGCCTGACACGGTGTGTGAAATCAAACACAAATCTAATTCAAGAAGTACTACAGTTCTTTATTCACACGTAATCTCAAACACAAGTCTAATTTAAAAAAAACCATAGTTCTTTATACACACGTAATCTCAAACACAAGCGGGCAAATCGCAGTTTGGTATCGAAAATATTAAGAAATGTTTTCATTTTTCTGCCAAGGATGACAATCTGCTCCACGAACTATACAGCACTATTCATTACCTCCCTTTAGCTTAAAAAACTATATATTAAAAAAAGACTTTGTTCGAATATGCTTGACAGGTAATTAAAGTTGTATAATACATAGTTGATTAGGTAATCAAACGGGAGTCAATAGAAGCAGGATGCTGATTTAAAGCTACATCTGCGCAAAAGAAGGATGAACAGCCATCGCAAAACATTGGGGGGGGGGGGGGGGGGGAGAGGAGGGGGGGGGGGGAATAGAGTTATTGCACACAAACATTACAAATATAGAGATAACTTTTGCTGGTAAAAACAAAAAGATTTAACAATATTTAAAACTGCAATTAACATTTTCAAATAAGAAATAAGAGTAACCAATGAATTGACCTAAACAAGGGCGTTAAAATATGAGTATCTGGCTTAGGTTATCGTTCTTGGGAAGACATGGCTCCAGCAGATAATGCTTCAAAGACCAACAAAAAAATTTAAAAAAAAAAAATTCATTTTGTGAAAGTAGCTGAAACATTAAAAAAATTTCATTAATTTTTGTTAATCCATTTTATAATTATCTGCATGACATGACAAGCAAACCACTCAGAAAAATCAATCAAGCGTATCTAATTGCAGCTAGAGGCATTTGCGTTGCGTCGCTGCCTTTTTTTTAAATAGCCTGTATTTATGGTTATATAAATATGCTTATATATATATATATATATATATATATATATATATATATATATATATATATATATATATATATATATATATATATATATATATATTGTGCGTATGATGGCAAAAACCATTTGAGTAACTCAGATCACTCCATGACACAGATTTTTTGAGCGTTTGAGTGATCTCCCGTGGGACTATTTCGTGGACAAACAAATATCGAGTTCTGTCAAGACGAGTTATCGGTCTTTAGTTGTAGACATGCGAGAAATGACCTAATGTGACGAATATTCATCCAAATCATGTAGTGGAAGGGAGTGAACTCAGGGAGGGGGGGGGGGGTATTCAGTCAATATAAAGGGACACAACTTTTATTAAAGTAATCGAATAGCCTCTGAGAATCGATGTTTAATAACCTTTGAAATGAAATCTCATTTGTGTAAATGAAGGAATGGCTCTTCCAAGATAATAAGATAATTACTATGATCTTATATCAATGCCCTTTGTTTCTAGTAATCTAGTTTTTATTGTTAAATTTACAGTAAAACAAAGGCTCTGCCTCATTTAGAATCAGGAGTATGTTATTTTTATCGACGTTGAATGGCAAATATCTTCATGTGTTCATTCTATTTCTATTATGGTTGGCTGAATAATTATTTTTATGCCAGAAAAAGAAAATTGATATTTGTTTTTATTTATGATTAAAGAAGGGCATATTTTTAGTAAATTATTTAAACATCTTTAAAGAATTTTTTTTTTAAATTCTAACTCGAAAAAGTTAAAACTACTAACCTTGCTATTAAAAAGGTGAATTTATAATTCGTCGAAAAAACCTCTTGTGTGAAAAAGAAAGGATGAAAGTGGCACTATGACGTATGATCCCCTTCAGACGTGCTTGCAATAAAACAGTTAACAATTTCTGTCTTGTAAAACCTTGGTAACTTAATTTAGAGTGCAGGATATTCTAGAATGTTCATTGTGCTGTGGTTTAACTTCTAAAAATAGAAGTTATTATGCCCTTCGATTTGAAAAAAAAACAGCGGAAATGCAAACTATACAATTAGATGTGTGTGGCTTTGAGTTGGTTAACTGGATTTAAATTATGTTTTATTTTAGGTAAGGGGTTGCATTACTTACATTTAATAAAATGAAATAGAATTTTACAGTAAAGTTATGTTTTAGCGAAGCTCTTGCAACGTGAACACTCCAGTTTAATGAACAACATCCTTGTTTAAGATGCTATACCCCTCCACACCCCATCCTCAGTATTTTTTTAAGCTGATACAAAACGCAGAATAACTCTACTGGTATTTGTGCTTTGTGCAATACAACAAGGGAGGTAAACCTAAACAAAAAATCCTGCTTAATCAATTATTTTATACTTTTCCAGAACTCCTTTAAAAAAAACTATAAATCTAGATAGAATTATAAAACATTTATTTGTTATCACCCTATTTACATCTTTATTGCTAAAAAGTTATAAATTTATTTTTTAAAGGAAAATAAAACAATATTAAACAGCTTTGCGATTTGTGAGTTCAAAACATATTTAGGTAGAATCTAGTCATCTATGTTATTGCGAAATCTACAGCAATAATTCTTTAGTGTTCCTGACAACTTTCCATGGTCCGAAAGCAATAACAAAAACAATGAATACACTACGGAAACAACACGCCGTGTTTCGATGCAGACTGTTCAGACTACACTACTGACCAAAGTGTTAATAAGATTCCTAGGTCCTGATTGAAAGATCTACATTCTATATCAAATTATCACAATGTCAGAACCTTCACCTTTTACCACTGATCTTCAGCCTTATCCATTTTGTGGCTCTGTGCTGCCTCTGCCTAGTATTGGACAAAGTATTATTTCATGTGCACGGTGTCCAGTTACAAGGAACTTAAAAGGTAGGTCAAAGGTTAAACTGTGGACAAAATTTATTTCATGTGCACGGTGTCCAGCTATAAGGAACTTACAAGAATAACAAGATGTCACAGAAACTTGTCACAGAAACTTGTCACAGAAACTTGTGTCATTCATTTCAACACTCCCAAAAGGAAACAAAAGAAAAATAAGGAAGTAGAAGATCTCATAAAAGAAGAGTTGATTCCTGATTCCTGAATTCCAGGGCCCAACTGTGGAGCGCCAGTGCTGCAGGTGCAACCATGACGTCATGATCTACACAACCAGACAGACGCGAATGGCAGACGAGAGTCAGACAGTTTTTTACACACGTGACAAGTGGAAATCTCAAGACATTGAATATTCCTAGTTTGTATTCCTTGCCTGAGTGAATACAGTCCAATGAATATTTTGATGCGCTAACTTGTTTATACACGTCAATAAAAAAATAAAATTACTAAAAAAACGGTAGTCTTGACCAAACGTCGGTTCATAATTAGACCCTACTCCATAACTCACGCCTTACAATATGACAAAGCGATGCAAGTAAATGCATTTGCTCTTTAGAAATAGACTATGCAACAATTACCAAAATCAACAATGGGGTTGCGCCCACTCCTGGTCCCTCTGGGGCGAGAGCCTGGGAGAGGAGTCACCCCGGACCACTGTTCGGGCGGCTTGATGAAAGCTTGGGCCCCACCCCTTACAGCAACAGCCAAGTCCACAACCACCTGCATCGATCAATCGGAAGAAACAGCACCAGACCTCTTCGACACTCAGTCAGCCTCAAAAACAGTTATGCAAGGTACTATAAAATCCAAAGGTCAACAAAACCTTCCTGGTCGCATTTTACGCCGTCTAATCAGACGTAACCTGATTCTGCTGCTGAACTACGGACGAGCAGATACTTGGCTATTTCTCGTCCGATTACTTCAATGTAGCAGATCTGGACAACACCCCAAAACAACATGGACCCTACACACTGGAGTTCTCATATACCAGAAAGACAAAGGCAGCGGCACCCTCAGATAAGTCCCACCAACACTTAGTAACGACAAAATCCTCAACGCACTCAGAACAATAAGCAAAACAGAACCCACAATCACTGCGATCTCACACACTAACAACACTAAATTCACCATCTACAATGACAATCTTAGACTACATTAAAATCACTTGCAAAGACACAAAAATAAACATGCAATACACTGCAATACCGGACAGACGACAAGCATGTCAAACATTAAGGAAACAATAACAAATGTTAACAAAAAGATAGTCCCACCACCAGGGAAATACAGCAGGCAAGTTTCTCTGCCAAAACAAAACAATTTTTTTGTCCAAAACCCCACGTAAACGAACCAGTCAACCAAGTGTACAATAACACAAAGTGCTGATACTGCGCTTAACAGTAGGGCCTACACAGTAACCATGGAAACTGAATTCCATGAAGACATCGTCCAAAAAAACCTTAAACAATGTAGCTACTGCCTTGACAATGTAATTCATACCGATATAGAAATGCACCATGCACAAGAACATCCAAACGTAATTGCCAACCAATGAGCATACTGCGATTGAACACACCCCCAAGTCAAAGAAATCAAGCTGCACCTAAAGCACTAAGTGCTAGTCAAGTCTCCCACTGAAGATTACGTGCTGGTCAAGTCTCCCACTACAGATCACGTCACGTGCTGGTCAAGTCTCCTACTACAGATCACGTCACGTGCTGGTCAAGTCTCCCACTACAGATCACGTGATGGTCAAGTTTCCCACTACAGATCACGTGCTGGTCAAGTTTCCCACTACACATCACGTGCTGGTCAAGTCTCCCACTACAGATCACGTCACGTGCTGGTCAAGTCTCCCACTACAGATCACGTGCTGGTCAAGTCTCCCACTACAGATCACGTCACGTGCTGGTCAAGTCTCCCACTACAGATCACGTGCTGGTCAAGTCTCCCACTACAGATCACGTCACGTGCTGGTCAAGTCTCCCACTACAGATCACGTGCTAGTCAAGTCTCACACTACAGATCACGTTACGTGACGGTCAAGTCTCCCACTACAAATCATGTGATGGGCAAGTCTCCCACTACAGATCACGTGCTAGTCAAGTCTCCCACTACAGATCACGTGATCGTCAAGTCTCCCACTACAGATCACGTGTGAGTCTCAAGAGTGAGCTCCATCCCGGTCATCTCTGGCCTGTCTGGAACTTAGCCCGACCCCCAGGAAATTGATTCTGGAACTTGAAAGACAATGAACCTTTGAAAGAAAAAAAAACGCTGAGTACTTGGTTTGGATTAGTTTCAACAAGTTGATTTCATTTTGTTTTCTTTTAGCTGCATGCAATCAGTGAAGGTCGATGATAAAGTCGTTTTTATCAGCTCGCCTAGAACTATGCCTAAAGCACTGATCTATATTTACATTTACTTTTTCTCCCTAAGCTGATTTTATTCTAGTTTTAGTTAAGGCTGAAATTTTTAAAGAAAAAAAAGACAGATTCCTAAAATAAAATCCAATAAAGAAAGTTGTATTTTTTTGGGTTAGTTAACACACACAAAAAATAAAGCTTTATACAACGGTAGCAGTTTTTTGTTACTGATCTTTAATCCATCTTTGTTATTAGGAAGTACACATCTTTGATCCACCTTTGTTACTCTCACATACACCTTTGATACACCACATCGATCAGTCAAAACATGTGCCAGGATCATATACCTTCTCCTACAATCTGCTTAGTGATGACCTATTGTATATTTGGAAACCACACCTAAATGAGCTTTCATTTGCCAACAAGTTAAAAAAAATATATAACTCTGTTATGGCTATACAGTTATAATATGAAAAAAAAATGGTTTTAGCAATAATATTTATTAAATCAACATTAAAGCTCTCCAATCTACTGCTATTTACGAGAGAATCCCTTGAGTAAAACATGATGTGAAATTCTAACTCACTCCTGTCCTTCCTATACCTTTCAGTAATGGAAATCTTCGATGCCACATCGCTCTTCAAATAATTTTGGCATATTTTCCATCAATACACGTTGATCAGATTTATTATTTAATAAAACCACGTTAACGCAAAACTAGGCTTTTTAAAAATATCTTAAAATGTTAAATAGTCCTGCATTTTAAATTTCAATTCGATTTGTTTAATTGGTTTCTAAAAATCAAGATTTTTTTTATAATCGAGATCTGAAACAAAACTAACAGGATCCAACTGCACTAAGACATCACAACAAAAACAACAGGACCCAACAGCACCAAGACATCACAACAAAAACAACAGGACCCAACAGCACCAAGACATCACAAACCAACAAGACCCAAAATCACCAAGACATCACAAACCAACAGGACCCAACAGCACGACGACATCCCAAACCAACAGGACCCAACAGCACCAAGACATCACAAACCAACAGGACCCAACATCATCAAGACATCACAAACCAAGAGGACCCAACAGCACCAAGACATCACAAACCAACAGGACACAACAGCACCAAGACATCACAAACCAACAGGACCCAACAGCACCAAAACATCACAAACCAACAGGACACAACAGCACCAAGACATCACAAACCAACAGGACCCAACAGCACCAAGACATCACAAACCAACAGGACACAACAGCACCAAGACATCACAAAACAACAGGACCCAACAGCACCAAGACAAAACAACAGGACCCAACAGCACCAAGACATCACAAACCAACAGGACCCAACAGCACCAAGACATCACAAACCATAAGGACCCAACAGCACCAAGACATCACAAACCAACAGGACCCAACAGCACCAAGACATCACAAACCAACAGGACCCAACAGCACCAAGACATCACAAACCAACAGGACCCAAGAGCAACAAGACATCACAAACCAACAGGACCCAACAGCACCAAGACATCACAAACCAACAAGACATCACAACAAAACCAACAGGACCCAACAGCACCAAGACATCACAAACCAACAAGACATCACAACAAAACCAACAGGACCCAACAGCACCAAGACATCACAACAAAACCAACAGGACCCAACAGCATTAAGACATCACAACAAAAACAACAGGACCCAACAGCACCAAGACATCACAACAAAACCAACAGGACCCAACAGCATTAAGACATCAAAACAAAAACAACAGGACCCAACAGCACCAAGACATCACAAACCAACAGGACCCAACAGCACCAAGACATCAAAACAAAACAACAGGACCCAACAGCAACAAGACATCACAAACCAACAGGACACAACAGCACCAAGACATCACAACAAAAACAACAGGACCCAACAGCACCAAGACATCACAACAAAAACAACAGGACCCAACAGCACCAAGACATCACAAACCAACAGGACCCAACAGCAACAAGACATCACAAACCAACAGGACCCAACAGCACCAAGACATAACAAACCAACAGGACCCAACAGCATTAAGACATCACAAACCAACAGGACCCAACAGCACCAAGACATCACAACAAAACCAACAGGACCCAACAGCATTAAGACATCACAAACCAACAGGACCCAACAGCACCAAGACATCACAAACCAACAGGACCCAACAGCACCAAGACATCACCACAAAAACAACAGGACCCAACAGCAGCAAGACATCACAAAAACAACAGGACCCAACAGCAGCAAGACATCACAAAACAACAGGACCCAACATCTCCAAGACGTAACAATGAAACAAAACCAAGTCACACACAATTTTGCCAGATGTCTGGATGCCCCAATATTGGCCGAACCCATCGATTGATTTACGCGTGATTTATGTAGAACATCTTCCAGTCGATATCCCTCAAGATGTTTTAAGTTTTTAAAAAAGCCAAGAAAATTTTACAGTTTTTATCTATCCCAGGGAGAAAAACAACTGCCAAACCCCATGTACTGGGTCACTAGAGATTAAGATTAGTCCTGGGATTATGGTGTCATGCGCGATCTACGATGACCGGTGCATGTCGATCAAGTTTGAATCTTCATTCAACCTTTTTTTTGGCCAGACTGTGTAAAAAAATCTGGCAACACAAGCCGACGTGTTTTACATGTTTAAATTTGGCACGCGTGGTTAATGATCCGTGTTAATTATTGTCCGGATAGCTAAAAATTAAATGTATTTCCATTTTTAAACAGTTAAAAACGGGATGTCTACATCACTCCTCAGTCTGTCAAATCAGTCACCTCCCTTTTCGTGTTTTATTTTTATTTTTTAATGGACTAGCTGCTACCCAGTGCATGTTATAAAATAAAGGTTTGCTAAAGATTTGTTGGTGTGAAGTTAAAATAAATGTTTGCTAAAAATTCGTTGGTGTGAAGTTAAAATAAAGGTTTGCTAAAGATTAGATGATGTGAAGATAAAATAAAGGTTTGCTAAAGATTTGATGATTTGAAGTTAAAATAAAGGTTTGCTAAAGATTATATGATGTGAAGATAAAATAAAGGTTTGCTAAAGATTAGATGATGTGAAGATAAAATAAAGGTTTGCTAAAGATTTGATGATTTGAAGTTAAAATAAAGGTTTGCTAAAAGTTTGTTGATGTGAAAATAAAGTAAAGGTTTACCTTGCTAAAGATTTGTTGATGGGAAGTTTAAGGGTAGAAAGTTACGTCCGTGCACAGTTGTGTCCACAAGCCGCATGTAAAACTATACCGGAAATGAGGCTTACAAAAAGGAAGTTGTTTACCGGAATTCATAACGTTAAGAAACAGATTTTTATACTGATAAGATAAGAGTTCAGCTATAGAATTACCAGCAAAGTCTGGAATATAATCTAAAGAATATATACATAGGCTTGTACATAAAGAAAATTGTAATGTATTAAAATTTAAAAATTAAACGATAAAAAGGATAACTTCTTGAAATGTATTAAAATTTCTTTTTTGTAGCTATAACATTAAACTACAAATTAATGGTTTCTAGATTGTTTCAGACGATTCATCACTGGTATGTTTTAGGTATAACTAAAAATTGCTTTAACTGTAATTAACACACCCAGCTGATACAATATATGTTGACTGTTGCTTACTTAGAGTGAAATAAATCAAATTTAATCTAAATCTCACATACAACAGGCTCAGTCCAATGTTTTGGTTGTATTTATCCTTAAAATCTGGCAACATCTAGCTTGCCAAAATGGAAATATTTAGACCAAACGAAATGAGTTGACTAACGTGAAGTGTTGCCGTACGTTACGTGTCAAAATTCTACATCCTCGCCATTATTTCCTGACCGACATTCGTCTTTCTATTGACCTAGCACCGGCCACCATAAGATACAGACGACCGGAAATTAGAGCTATCACGTGACCCATCTTTACCCAGTTCATCTTTTGGATCAGGCACGGACAACACTGTTTAACTTTTTCTCATGGAAATTAATTGTGTTCATTAAAGTATATATATATATATATATATATATATATATATATATATATATATATATATATATATATATATATATGCACTTACACATATATATGCCTCATACGTGTGGCTGTCGATACATTGTAACTTGTATATCGCGACCATTTATCTCCCCTTCCGTACACGTTTTTGTTGTTTACAAGTTGGAGATTATCAATTTGTTAGGATTGACCTTTACACATCGACCGCATAAATAAACCAAAAGATCTCAATTGTTCTGGCAAAGATTGGGTTTTAAGAACACAAGACTGGCATCTGGGCAGCAGTTCGTTGTCTGTTGTCTACCCCACACAGAAGAAAACAAAGTTAGTTGAAAACATGCTATGGGTTCAAACAAAGAGCGGCAACTCTTGTTAACTGCCCTTTCGTTTAGCGTTCTTTTAATTGAGCGTACTGGGAATAGAATTTGATGAAAATTGCCTTTTGTGAAAACATTGTATTGTGCTGTATTTTATTGTATGCTACACCCACACTACGCGCATGCACACTCACTCACACACACAACACACTCACGCACGCACACTCTCTCGCATGAGCGTACACATCTCTGATGTTTGAAAAATGATGTATGTTGAGTGATGTCTATTAGGGAAGTGAATGAGGTCCACAATTAGTTCCACGAGTTGGCTCGATCATCAAGTTAATTAATCATTACTTTACGAACATTTTTAAAAATTGTCATTAAATATTAGGACCTATTAAATTAAAAGTCTAAGGTTTGAAGAATCGTTCCTTTTTTTTTTTTTTTTTTTTTTTTTTTGCTCCGTGTATGTAACCAGAAAAATCGAAAGTCTAATATTTTCCTTATTTCAAGAATATTTTTTTAATGTAACGACCCCATAATTTACTCCATTAACAAAAATTGGAAAATGTAAACTAGATGTACTGAATTCACAGCCAGTTAGTGCGTATAGGCCTCAATGGTTTTACAATAGGAGACTATTATTCCGAGATTTTATACTTGAATGTAATTATGGGATACTTTGGCTATAAATAGACTCAGAAGTCTTGAATGAGCGACTACACATAAAATACTTGACAACTACTCCAGTTTGACTTGTTTTATTTTTGTATGAGAGTTTGGTTTGTGAAGGTCAAACGTTTAGTGTTGTTGGGTTTTATTATAGAAGAATTAGTGTTGTGAACAATTAAAAACGGTGAAACGTGTAGTATAGATGGGATACAGTGTGTAGGTCAATCTATGTTATTGTTCGCTTTTACCAACTGTACTTTAAGATTAGTTTATTACATATCATTTGATATACGTGTTTTAATTGAAATTCACACTACAAATTTAAACCATCATTTAACTTACTTTTTTCATAACGTGTGTGTAGAATTAAAACATTCACTCCTTATACTATTATGTAAGCTTGAGTTTAACTTTACTTCCAGAGCTTAAAATTAAGTCCTAGGCCGTTTGTAGTGAAACCGTGCATTCGTCAGCTCTATGTTCTAGAGAACTTGACCTTTGACATTTTACCTTTATAGAAAGTTCGTGAGTACTCAATAGAGACCGATAGATTTTTTTATAGATCCCCTCCATACACCCCCACCGCACCACTCCCATCCTCCCCACCACACCCACCCATCCACCACACACCCACCTCCACACCCGTGGTAAATGGTTAATCTCATTAGATGGAGTTGTAGAGTAATTAGATTAGTCCATGTCAAGCTTGAGAGGCTTAGATCACCAAGTGCACATCATCTAAGTGCACATCATCTAAGTGCACATCATCTAAGTGCACATCATCTTAGTGCACATCATCTAAGTGCACTTTGATGCCGTGGAATTGGCCATACCAGTACAAGATGGTTCACATCTTCTACGTGCAGGGTTTTGGTGCGAGGAGCTACATGCCACTGAACGTTGATGTCATGGGGTTGAATATCCCAGTGCACTTTGATAATAATAACATCCCATTGCACTTTGATGAGATGCAATAAAACATCCCAGTGCACTTTGATGAGATGCAATAAAACATCCCAGTGCACTTTGATGAGATATCATAAAATATTACAGTGCACTTTGTTGAGATGCAATAAAACATCTCAATACACTTTGCCGAATAAACTTTCCTCTCCGTCTTAAGTAAACTGAAGGTGTAAAAATGTATAGACTGGAGCGATGAACGATTACTTCTATTTAAAGTTCATGTTGAAACTGTTTTTCTGAGCCAATCAACGCCTTGCCTTAAAGCAAATGTCCTAAAAATGTTTGTTTGTTTACTGTTTTCAAGAGCTTCCTTAATCCATGATTATCTCGCCCTAACTTTCCTCAGATTATATATAAGACACTTTCCTTATTTTTGTTTTAGAAAATGAGTGGTTTTTATTTTATTTTACAAAAAAAAAACAACAAATTAACGGATAGAATTGATGCAAAAGTGTCTGTTTAAAATATAAATTTCTTCCAATTAGATTCGATTACAAATCATAGCTTACAAACTTTTTTTATGGCTTCCTGAACGAATTTATAGAAATAAAAATGTTACTTTCCTAACACCTTTGGATTTTAGTTTCGCCGCCAAGTCCCCTATTAAAAATTGTGGATTAAAAGTTGTACTAATTGACATGAATTAGATTAACCGCCGACACACGGCATTAGTAAACTCGACTAGCTATCAGCTACAAGCTACAGCAGTTGGCCTGTAGTTAACCCTCCGTGTTCTCTTTAGGCTTAAGGTTAGGGTTTAGCATAGTGAGACTCTATTAACATGAGGGTTATTGCAGTGGGGTGGATAGGTATGTAGGGGTGGGAGGGGTTTGGATATGGAGCAAAATGTAACGCTGATTAATGTAACATTCAGTACTTTTTAAACAAATGTTGAACATTTTAAAATATTCACCAAAGTAAACCCTATTTTTATTTGACTAACAAATGCCACAATTACATCTGAACTATTGTAATGCAAAAAAAAAAAAAAACGAATTCGTGTTGTTATAGCTAAATTCCAGACTTTTCAAAAAAGATTGTTAATAGTAAATCCGATTTGTAAATTGCAATTTATCTAGTAATCGAATTCGACAAATTCATAGTACAAATAATTGCATGTGCATTAAGAAAGATCAGTCCCAGTCTCATTCATGTAAAATTTGCTTGAATTGTAGATCTGAGATGAGGACTAAAATATTTGTGAAGTTTTGGTTAATAACTTAGCCAGGAAATGGCAGAAAATGTGTTGTCAAAATTCCAGTCACTAACATTAAAATTATTTCCAAAGACTCAGGCAATGACAGTCATTATTTTTGTCAATATAGTTTTCATTGGCAGTAAACTTTCGTTGATTTCTAAGTCAATGGCAGACTATTTTTGTGGAGTTCTTGGTCAATA